GAGCACCCTGGATACCAGAGGCCTTCTTGTCCTCACTGAACTCAAGTGCAAGTTGTGCATCTTCAGCAGCCAAAGAATAAAGTACCTATCATTACATTTTGAAGTGTGAATACAGTACATATTTCATACTGAAAGGATAATAGTGAAAGACCATTAGTACCATTGCTGAGAAGCAAAATTCATTGTTTCAGGCTAGATGCCATCTGATGTGATCACATGAGCTTGAGCTGTTTGTGGAGGCACACCTGGAATTCATCATTTGTTTTGCCTTTAAACAGCTAAGACATCATAACCATGACCAGAAAATTACAAACACTGCACAAACTTGTGAGAGGTAGAGAGGCTTAGCTTTATAACTGACAACTAAAGCCCAACTTTCTGTATCCTTACGCTGTGATACAGTCTAATTAATCATACATCTCTGCTTTTTCTGTGGTATTTCTGTTTCACTTGTTTACTGAGTTAGTGAAAGAATGAGCAACAAACAACAAAAATCAGGCAAGTGTAAATTTAGCTCTAATTTTCAGAAACCCAACAACTGAATTACGATTCTTGTGGCATTGTTTAAGACAAAGTGCTCAAATGCTACTTGAGCGTAGTGAAAAAGGCTTCTGAAAGCATATAAGGAAAATTTGAAAATATTTATGGTTTCTATTTTATCAACATTTTTTTATCAAGATGTGATATGGTCATATCAAGAAATATGGCATATACTGTAAATAAAATATTTGCACATGCCATATATAAGATACCATATGAAGATACAATGCTAAAGCTGATCATTTTTATCAAATGCATGGTTTTAATCAATATTTCCACTTGAACACCATTTTCCAAGGACATATTCTTCAAACAGCACACATACACACATCCATCCAAATACTCATGCCCAACCAAGGAAGCCTGTTTGTGTCTAAAAAAAAAAAAAAAAAGCAAAAAAAAAAAAAAGCATTAAAAAGTGTTTTAAGTTCCAAATCCTTTTTTTCAATACCTTCTTACCTTACATGCTTTGCATACTGATGTGTTCTGGGATAATTTCAGATATTTGGCAGATGTTAAGTGGATGTTGCTTCGAATTTGACAGGAATACTAGCAATTTCATTGGTTTATATCATGTCAAACATCTGCACTAAAAAAACGTGGTCATGTAGTACTATCAACGCTAAAGGCATTCTGCTGAAGCATAGCTCAGAGTTTACAGAAAGCAACAAGACTGAACTCAATTTCAAAAGAAAAAGCATTCTTAGTGCCTCTGAATGAAGCTGTAAAGTGTGAGCTTGGAACTTATCTCCAGCATCATGCTGTTGCTGTTCACACCAGAATAAATGTGTTAAGCTTAATGTTTGCATGGCAGGACAATAAGGCTAATTAAATACTTCTTATTGGAGCTGAACTTAAAAAGTAAAAAATGTTCACTATAAAAGAAGGGAAGCTGAGTAGAAAATAAACTCACAGGTAGAGGCACAGAGAGCAAAGGTTGGAATTTGCCAATTGCTACTCTAAGGTTTCAACAGCTACCGGGAATTCAGCCTTTTTCTAATCCAAATGAAATCTGCAGAAGCCTCAAATGCAATTGTGAGGTAACTGCTGTCAAACATTACAGATTATATCTCAACCACTGTTGTACTTACAACTTGCATTTCAATGTGAATTTTTATTCACAGGTTTTTTTATTTGACTTTTTCCTACAAAGTACAAGCTAATGCCCAAATTAATTGACATATACAACACATACTGTATGTACTTTATATGAAGTTTATAAGCAGACACTGAATATGTATTACCATGTCATGAATAATATTTTTTAGTCACTAAACCAGGTCACTGAAAAGAAGAATGCTTCCCATGTAATGTAAGTTAGACTAGAACATGAAAGATGGTTAATGAACAGTAAGGGAGCCAAATGCATTTTAACAACTATTTAAGGAATGGCTAATCCAAACAAATTATTTAAGTTTGGATCTGATTATCCTGATTGTCACGTGTTTTGTGTGCTGATATTTAACTACTATTCACCTTTCAACACTTTTATCTTCCAGAATCAAAGAAGACAGCTCATCCAGAACAAGCAGGAACTAAAGAGTAGAATATCACTTGCAGCTTTAGTTTATTGCCCCAAATTTTAGTTACACAGATAAATAGATACTAACTCATATGTGGCAAAACAAATTCCGAGGTCATTTGACTCTGATTTTAACTATATGCTTGGTTCTGATTTTAATAAGCATATCAAGTTGTGAAGTCCTGGCTGTTCTGCAAGTCTCTTCTGAGCTACATGATTTCATTGTCACAAAACAATAATAGAGAATAATATAATTATGTTACAAAGTTCAGCTTATGAAGTTGTGTATCTGGCTTCACATTATCTCTACCGTTGTTACAAACAATACAATGTAGAAGTAATACTCATCTTAAAAATCACTGAAATCTTGTAAATCTCACTGACATAAAGCTCACTGACCTATCACAGCAACCCCTAGGAATACACACAACACAATATTTAATAATACACTTTGAATGCACATAGTACAGAGATAAACAGTACTGACCAGTAAATATACTGGCATGACAAGTATACTGACTAGGACCCATTGCAATTTAGGCTCAATGAGAAGACTTCTCCTGCAAACTGTTGGTAACCATCAACACGTGCACTGCTTACACAGTGGTCAGTGTGTGATGGCACTAAGATGATGGGTTTAACTGCCTGCCTTTGATTACAGAATGTCTTAATAGATTACATTAAGATAGCTCCTCCCAATTACTTACTATTTCTGCTACATTCTTTACAGTAAATCTGCTTCATTAACATAATAGTCGTATATTTGGCATTTTTCCTTCCCTTTTCCTGCTTGGTCTACTGGACTGCCTCTTACTAGACTGCAAACTGCAGTGGATATAGAGACTATTAGTTTATAATAATTTCAGAGAAACAGGCATGCTACACCTAGCACCAGAAAGCAAATTATAGGAAGACCCTAGATGGGCAAATAAAGATTATAAATGGATTGTTTTGATTTTGCACTTAAAAGCATAAATTCATAGAGGTTTAGTGAAATTTTTCAGATTTCTTTTGCATAATTTTTTGTTAATTATCTATCCAGAAATGCTAGCTTCAGTTCAGTAAAATTAATGACACTTTAATGTTTAAAAAACAATCACTCTTTGAGAAGCTGATCTAGACACCTCGTATTTTTTAGTGACACAGCAAGATTTGGTGTGTGCTTCAGTTTTGGCTTAGTAATCTCAAAAACTATCATATGAAATACCTTATCCACTTACACATTATTTATCATCAGTGAACAATCTTCAAAGCTCAGGATGCCTCAAGGCTTTGTAATGAGGAGGTCATTGTAAGCACCCTTTCTGAACAGGCAGGGCTGGAAGTTTAGAGTGTTACCAACACAAGGTTCTCCCCAGTATTACAGGACCCTTTATCATAATTCTTCTATTATAAAGACCTTGGGTACTTGGATTTGCTCTTTTTTAGTGCTCTTTCGTCATTCTTGCCCTCTTTCTTCATCCTGTTGTCTGTCCTTACTTATCTGCTGATGTCTGTCTCCGTATCTTTAATGTGCTATTCCTTTGAAACATTACTTTCTTGACACAAAATATTTTTTTTTCCTCATTCTCTCTCTTCCCATAAATGTGATAAGAAATCCTTACGGAAGAGCTGAAATTAATGGTAAACCCTGATCCAATATACCCAGAGAGCAGAAAAAGTATATTATGGAATTTAAAAAAATATTCAGAGAGCCTGCGTTAAGGCTCTGGTGTAACAGAAGGGAAGGATAAAAAGCCTTTCTAGTGTCATGCCACAATCTCTACCAGACTCTTTAAATTCAGGAGAGGAATCTGGAAAGATATCCACTCTATCCTGCAGGACATTGGCCCTTTGAAAAAACAAAAGTAAAAGTAAAAACCTTTTTCTCTTAACTGTTAACAAGCAAACATCTACATCATGCTAAAAAAAAAATCAACAATTTATTATTAACAAATTATTATTAACAAATAATTATTAACAAATTATTATTATTATTAACAAATTATTATTATTAATAATAATAATATACACTGATATAGACTCCAAGCACCAATTTTAATTTCACCACATGTAAACATATGTTTTTTAATCAGTGGTTATTCCTAGAAATTCTATATTCATCCTCATTTATGCTGGGGACTCAAAACTACACTGGTGAGGTTGCTATCTGACGACACTAAATAAGCACTTAGTAAGGTTAATCTCATTGTCATCCATATGTAAGGCAATTCAGGAATCTGAATTACAGAGATTATAGATAGTGCACTGGAGCCCAAGCATACACTGATTACAGCCAGATTATTAACCCACATGTCTACCTATGTGTTAGACTCGCAGTGACCCTAAGGAAAACAGCAAGAAAAACATGACTTTGAGAGCTGAATGCTCACTGCTAGCATCTGTGAACAGAAAAATTATTATGGGATTATTCCATAAATATGTGGGTTTGTGGGTTTTGTTTTTTAGCAGTAGAACAAACAACTGCCTTAAAAATGTCCAACTCTTCTCCATTTCTTATGGCAACATTATGCAAGGTCTTGAAAATTCCTCAAGTCAAAAAGGCATAACATGATGCAAGAATATTTTGGATAAATTGTGACATTTATTCTGCAGCACTTCTCCTGCATGTATCCTTCATGCAAATACTTAAGTACTGACTGTGCCTCAGTTTTGCATTATGAAGGTTTACCATGTCACTTGTTGCAGTCTGCAGTAAAAGTTTATAAATGTAGAAAATACAACATTCTGTCTAATCCTATCTGTTGGTATGTATCAAATTAGAGCACACCTTTCTGCTTCAGTAGGAAGATGGAAAAGTCTTTCATTCTCATGGACTAGTTTAAAAGGTATACCATTAAATGGGAGAAACAAGGGAAAGGCAGAATTACAACTTCATTGTATTTTCCTAAGTAATAGAGAGCCTTTAGCTGGTAAGAAAGACAGAACTCAGACTTACTGTGCATTTGTTTGGCTTCTCTCCTGAGTGGACTCTCATGTGAATCAGCAGTTTGTAACGGGCATTAAATGGCTTGAACCTTCGAGGGCACCCTGCCCAGAAGCAGGTGAAGTCCTCTCCCTTCCTCTGGTCTATGTGGATCTTCTCTATGTGCCGCACAAGCTCCTCTTGATGGTCATATATCTTCCCACAGTCAACCCAGCAACAGCCATGCTTGACATTGAAATCATCCAGCTCACCATCTTCCTCCAGCAGGGCACCTGGGGCAGGAGGCAGCACCTGCAGCGGGTGGATGTGGCTGGGGAGGCTGTGCGGGTGCTGGTGAGCATGGTATGGTGGGGGCGGCCCTTGTGGAGGAGGGGGTGGCAGCACCAGGGGTGAAAGAGACATGTCAACAATAGGGCATGAGAAATCATCTAGCTGTTCATTTTTCCGGATGCCCATTGCCTGGCTGTCCATGGGCAGCACACTCTGCTGGATCACCATGTTATTTGTGGCAACCGTCTGTAGGCTGGCTTGCTCCAGCTGCTGCATCCGCTGGTACTCACCTGTCCCGTTCTCAACGTACCCTGGAAAAGCAACATTACCATTCGCCATGTGGAAGCCTTTCTGGGCAGTTGAAACAGAGCAGTTTTGGGGTATACAGCTTCCTCTCACTCCCAAGAAATGTCCGTAGACCTCAGGCTGTGGGGAGATGTTTGCTGGAGATGTCCTGGAGCTGTTGATGTAGGCCACCAGAGAAGTTGGGGATGTACGAATGATTGTATTGAACTCGATCCCAATGCCGTCAGACAGAGGAGATAGAGAGAGTGTTTTCTTTTTGGAGCGGGCTGATTGAGACCAGACTGAGGACTCGTGAGGACTAGAGTACGAGGAATTCTTATTTTCCATGCCATATAAGTAGAACGGTAATGAGTTACTGGACATAGATGCTTCAGGTGAAAAATTTATTAAGTCCCCCAGCTCATTGCCATTTTGTAAATCACGGTCAGGAGGAACAGAATAAAGTGTCCTGTACCTTTGTGACCACTCTTGTTCAACACTCAAAGGGGAGTGACCATCTGACAAGCTTAACGTTGTGGAGGCCAGAGACTCACATGACAAGAGTGACCTGAAATAAAGGTATGATAAAGTAAGCAGTTAGAAATTCAGAAGTAGATCTTTTACCTTCACAAACACATTTAAAATTAAGGAAAGGCTACATGTGAGAAAAGTTCTCTCTAATATTAGGTACTCAAGTTTAGCACACTCAAAGCATACAAAGGCAATATATAGGTTATATATATAAATATATAAAAGGTCACTTAGGAAACCAACTTTAAAACTTCAAGGTTTTGAAAGAAAGTTACGGTAAAGATTCTTGATCCAGCACTGTAGAAATTATTACATGTCTTATCATCAGTTGTGGTGTAAATAGGTTTGGACTTCTGAAACCAAAGCATTATGATCCTGCTTTCTATGAAACTTGTGTTGATTTGAATCAGCTATTATTTTCGCTTGAAAAAAACAGAAAGAAAATCCATAGAGAATAAATATTCAACCTGAATGATTATGTCAATTGTAATGCATGCAAATACTACAAACACTTCCCTACATTTATATATCAAGTTTATAAATACAGATAATATCTAACTTTACAAAATAAACAAAATAAATGAGTAATGTAGGAGAACTGGTTGAAGAGGTTTCTGAGATTTGAAGATGTATCTGCCTCCAAGTCAGCAATCAAAATTTTTCATGGAAGTGTAATCTTGCTATTATCATTCATTTTTCACAGAGCTATTATGAAACTTCTTTATGCTGCAAATATTCTTTGGATAGCTTAAAAACCCTCAACATATAGGCCCTTAAAAGTATTGTTTTCTACAGCAAGATATAACAAGGAAATAAAAGGAACATCAAGGGCCCTGATTCACGGCTGTAAATGCTGGCTAAAGGTTAACTGGATTTATTTCTCTGTTTCCAGTCCACACACAGGCAGACTTGGATTTCCTGCCAGCTAGTGGTCCTATCAGTATATAAATTTCTATTTTTAAGGAGCTCTTATACAATACGAAGAACTGGGTATGCGTCTAGGTAAACCAGACAATCTCACAGAAGCCTCTACACCTTATGTTTTGAGGGTTAATTCTTGGGTTTATTATTTTCACAATACACTTTTGAAGTGCAGAACTTCACTGACAGATCAAGGACACAGGAGGGGAAGCTTGGCACAGCCTGAGAGCAAGAGGAAGTAGTTTGCAGGTGCTATAGCAGCTATCTGTAAGATAGCTCACAAACAGGGAAAATGTAGTTTAAAAGAACAGCAAGCCTTGCTGCGGCAACCAGTGGGTGAGACAGTCAAATGCCCCTTTGCGCAAGATACTCGCTTTGCAATGCATGGCTGATCTGCTGTGTGGATTCTGCATCAGAACAAGGAACATCCTGTTCTGATTCAATGTCAATGTAGTCATGGACCTTATGTTACTCCATCAGGGTTTAAATGGCACTTGCAAAACAGACTACAGACAAAAAGCACAACTAGCGTGCTGACTACAATTTGCACTGAGAGAAATGAGAAAAATGAGACTGCTCTATCAGGTCACTCTTGTGTACCATTTAAATCTAAAGGGATGACTTTGTGAAAAAGTTGATTTAGGCTGTTGTCAATGGCCTTTGTTAAAGCACAGGTCATTAGAGGGCAATTAAATCATACTAGTATGATCTGACCCTAAATACAGATCCACAGTCTTCATCAGAGCAAGACAAGTAGTTAAAGTTTTATTCTCCGTGCTATGATGTATATATTCAGACCTAGAAAATATAAGGAGAGGGTGGGGGTGTTTTACCCATTTAAAAAAAAATTATTTTCTCTTACATGAATAAGGAAAAAGAAATCGTGCACCAATAACAAGTCTATTTTTGTACTGACAAGAATTTTAATCAGATGCATAGTAGGACCACTGTCATACAAAAAGCTACTAATGCCTAACACAAAGGGGCATATCCATCAGTGAATCTGTAGAAAAACTGTCTTTTTAAAGTCTCATAATAGGACAAAAATACAAAGAATTTCAAATACACAATAAGAAAGAGACGGTTATTTTGAAGAAGCTGCAGCATCCAAATTCAAAAATTTTAAGAATTCTAGCTCCCAAATATATGAAGGTTTATTTAAAATTCAGTCCATACCACAAGTAAGTCGTTTTCTAATACAGGGAAAATAAATACACCTAATGTGAAAACGAGAGACCAGATCTATCAGAGAGCCAGATTCTCACAGGATATTAATTGGTGCTTCTGCTTATTGAAAACTAAACTAGCTTAAGTTTCGACCAGATCTTTCATTAACATTTACAAGATTACTTGCAATTACACTGCATTCTCCCTTTGCATACAGAGGCCACAATATCAGAGTATAATCCAGAATTTTAAACATAAACATGGAAGAGTGAAAACCATGTTATTCTCTCTTTTCATGGTCTTCTATTTATTAGCCAAGAACCAAAAATTTTGCTCTTTCCTAGATCTTTTTCTGACTTGCATCAAAGCAAATGGCAGTATTACATCTGGCTTCAAGCAACACAGCTGAACACTCCAAAAAAGTTTTGCAGAAACTCAAAAAAGATGGGGAAGGTTTTATCCCTCATGGTCCACATATCAGAATCTGATGGTATGTGTAGCAAAACTCTCATTTTGCCAACTCTTTTCTTTCTTTCATTGGTAAAAATCAAGAAAATTCCCTTTGGCTTTGGTAATTCAACAAATAATCTGGTTTGGATTGAGCTGCCAGAACACTGTTCATAGTGCCTGAGAGATAAAATCCTGAGAAGGCACTCTGCCCAGGAAAAATAAGCAAAAGCAGTTTATAGTTCAAGAAATTTCATCAAAAAGAAAAACACCTCAAACCTCAACAACAAATAACTAACCTCCCCAAAAACCACAAGCAAAGAAAAAAAACCCATGCTGTTTTGACAATCTGCGAGTTAAAATCTGATTTTAAACTTGATTTTCCCCTATAAAAGACAATATAAGATTTCCCATATAAGACAAGCTGAGGTAAAAATTGCTGAAATGGACATTCTTTGTGTGACAAACTTATTTTATAACACTTCTATTGATAAATCATTGAAAGGTACTCTAGGGACACCATAGCCTTGATTCTGCTAGAGTTTCAACTTCGGTTTGCCCATAGGAAACATTTCTCTGAACTAAAACCAAAACTGTATAACTCAGTACTGACACAGTACATCCAACCACACATTCAGTGTTTGGAACCATAGAGACACACCTTAATCTTAAGTAAGTAAAAATTATGTAATTGTATTTTTCTAGCATCAATTTTATTTGATCTGAAAGGCATGTCTTCGGGTTTGTCATTTGTCATCATCTTAGCACTGAATGTTTTTTGCTGACATGTCTACATAGGAAGCATAATAAATTTTGTAAATTTTTCCAGGGGAGTCAGTCTTCACAACTAAAGTTGTGACAGAAATGTTAAAAATTATCTTAAGAGTAAAGAAAGGTTTCAACTACATTTGCATGGTAGCAATTTTAATTATTTCAGGAATGTCCCTTGGCTTGTAATAAAGCAACATAGTAAATGCAAACTGCTTTGAGAATAAAGACTCTTGTGGTCTTTTGTAATTAAGAAACTACATTTCAACTCAGTAGGTAATGGGGAATGTAGATTCAAAAATAATACACTAGAATATTTTCTCACTGTATGTTTACATCCAGGGATGTTCCTAATGTACTTATAGGGTGGTTCTCAAATATGTTTTCCTCTTACTCATGTTTGTTGACAAAACCCGATGTCATAATCTCAAAACTTACTTAAGCATTTAAAATTAATTAATAAATATTTATCTGTGGGGTAGTGATAAAAAAGGGCAACATTTACAGGAAGTGGCCATAGTTTTCTTTACCTTCTCAACAGAACTAGGAAAACTAACAAGTTTTCAAGGACAACTGATCTGATTAATTATGTAAACCATTTGAAAGCAAAAGCATTTGATGAGGAGAGAGGAACATGTGCAGAGCATTTATAGTTTTTTTGTCTGTCCTTGGTATTATTTGACAGGCACCAACATGGCACACTTAGCACTATGTAGATGTAACACGTGGACTATTTCTGCTTTCATCCTCCATAACACTACTTCCTATACCTAGTACAAAAATCTAGTTTGTGACCATGAAACAGCCTTTATCTAATAAAAAAGCCCTATGATACACAGATTTCGTGTGGCCATATTTCACCCATTATTTGAATATTGAATCCAAACAGTATGATTATAGTTGATCTGAATTAAATTGCATGGAATTCAATTTCCTGTGGCATAACAGAGAATGATTCTCTGATTTTAATAATAAGAAATGTCACATTTTAATTGCAGAAGAATTAAAACCCCTCCTTTTCAAGTACTGGATGTAAAAAGGTAATTGAGGACCTTGTATCTGATGGAGAAACACTCAGGCTGGAAACATCCATAGACCTTTGTAAGCTAGGGCTGATCTGGCTGCATGCTGTTGAAAGCTGATTCACTGAAGGTGAAAAAGGTCCCAGCTGTTGAACTGTCATGGGATTGCTGGTGACTATTGCATCGTTACTGCTGCCTTTCCCAACGGACTTGCACTTGTGTCCATAACCAAGACCTCCTAAAATAAACAAAGCAGATTAGTATTTATGTCCCATGAGCCCGTGATGAGGCACAGAACTCACATGACTTTGCAAACTCCAGAAAGCAATAGGAATCCTCAGAGGAGAACAAAACAGGGGACCAATAAAAGAATTTTGCAAACTTCTCAAAACATAAATAGCAATATTCTACAGGGGAATTAAAAATTATGCATGTGTAAAACATGTGCTGGAGTACAAAAACTAAAGACCAGGCATGACAGAAAAACATCAGAAAAAGCATTAGGCAAAAGAGCCCTCAGCTGATGGACAGCTCCCTATGAAGAAGACAGGAAGAGAGAACCCAAGGAGGCTGCCAGAACAGCACCATACCCCGAGTCCTCCCAAACCCTGCAGCTGCAATCCATTGCAAGCCCTTCCATCATTCCTATCACTAGCCAAGTAAAAAGTAAGGAGAGCACCAATACGCACCACTGCAGTGCTGGCTGCCTAGTTTTTCCAGCAGGAGAGTATTACAGCTGGAACCTAGCATTCCTCAGAGGTCTAGGCAGAGGAATCTGAGCTGAATCAAACTGAGAAGCATCCTGGACTTTCTTTAAAGGCCACAGTCTGCTTGTAATCACTGCTGCCATGACTGGAACTAATGGCTATTACACAGTAACACAAAAGGTAGCTGGGCACCAGGACATACCTTCAAAATACCCAGTGCACTTTGTGTTGTGATTTAGATCACAGATGGTGGTTTACATGATTTCCTCCATTAAAACACACTGAGATTAGAAAGTTAAAACGCAGATCATAATATGGAAGTTGTTTGACATCTAGCGAATTCTCATCACAGTTGGAAATTAATAATTAGACAATTCACATTGCTAGGTGCTTCCCTGTGTTCAAAATACACCACAAAGCAGAATAGCAACATCACAACAAACAAACCAAAGTATTATTGAAAAGTATTTAAATGTAAATCATCTTCCTAAATTGAATCTACTTTTGATACGGGCGTACAATTCATATAACTTTTTCTCCAGGTTCTTTAGATGGGTTGTGAACTGCAGAGAGTAGTACATTAAGGCATTTATGTCTCTCCCAGTCAAAGGAAGAAAATCCAAATCCTTCAATCCCCTCCAGAACAAACAGTTCCAAGGACAAATGTGTAAAGAGAATTCCTGATTCTGCACTCAGTTCCACTGTGGACACTACAACAAAGCATTTAAGCTCTTGTAGGATTACCGCCTGTTCCCACAACAGATGTTCAATTAAATCAAAAGAAAAAGAGAAGGTATTTTAATTTCTTTCCTGTGAAGCAATAAAGTACATATTTTGAACTCACTAAAGCTGAATCAATGTGCTACTTAGCAATTGATTTTATAATGTTACAGAGAATTAAGTTGGAACCAGTAGCAAATACTAGGCAAAAAATGTAAGCTGCCTCTAATAATAACATGAACACTATTCCTCTTTTCAAAAATCTGGATGGGGTGAAATAAAGAGTTTACAAGGCCCATTAACACTATAAAAATACATAATACAACATAATATGCCTATATGTGTGTGTGTGTGTATATCATAAATGTTCAGTTAGGTATTTTTCAAAAACATGCCTTTAGTATGTAGAACCAAAAACATTCTGCAACAAATTATATAAAAGGGAAGTGTACTATAACAGTGTAGGAAACCCAACCAGATTTGATATTAAAATACTGTATTTACAGCTTGCATATACAAGCTGTAATTCTTGAAGAGTGTATATGTTATATACACTTGGAAACTATATGTGTGCATGTATGTATGTATGTATATGTATATATGTGTATATATATATATATATATATATATATATATATATATATATAATACTTAATAATACATAAACCTACTATTTAGCATTGAGAAAATGTACCAAATATATACTGATCCTCTCCTGGATGATGGCATTAACACCTTTCACTTACAGGCCACTTTAAACAAATGTCAGTAGTAACAATAACATCTGCTTTATCATACCAGGAAATCATAGACTGTGCATTTGTCAGATTTCCATTAGGGAAAGGCCATATGTCATATAAAACAACAATCTGCAATGATACAGTGAAAATGCTATTTATTCATGACTAAATATGAGCTGCTTGAAACTTAGATGTTGGAAAAAAAACAAATCCCAACAGAAAAAACAGAAAAGGGAGTAGTGCCAAACCAGTGCTGTTAAATACAGAAAGGTGCATCCTTAATGCATCCTGATTTCTCTTTCAATTACAGGGTCTGCTACTGTTTGTGTATAAACAGTACCTCAGGGATGACAACAGCAGGTAAGACAATTTGCTGTGTTATGGTAAGGATGATGACCAAAAACGGTTGCTAGCCATTGAAAGGAAAATATGAGAAATTAAGTACATTGGAGAGACTGTATTACTAGAATGATAAAAAAAAGTTATGCAAGACTCTAGTCCTCATGAACATTTGCCTGGACTTTTCTCTGATGTGGAAACAGAAGCAAAAGGTTTTGTTCTTTTTACCACTGCAAACACTTGCTGCCATGAGAAAAAATAACAATTCTTCCACTGAAAAGAAGGCAAGGGAGATTATCATGGAAGAATAAATCATCAGCTCCCACCACTGAAAGATATTACAAAGTAAAAGGCTGCTGCTGTGAAAAGCAAAGTAAGAACATTTCATCAGCTGCTTCATATAGGCATAAATGTGTCAGAAGACCATCATTATTAACTTATCTGTGCTCTGCAGGTCACTGAACGGTGTAATTTGATCTGAATCAGGCAGCAGCATACAGTCCCATTTATGTTGAACTAAGTCTGAGCACAAGATGGGAAGCTTATGCTGACTTCAAGCCCACTATAAAAGTACAGACCACATCTGATCTAGCATAAAGTTAGAGTGCAGCATGGACATCTGGCCTGTCATGAACCTGCTGCTGAAAGACAAGCTGTCAGAATGTGTCACAAAGCTCTGGAAAATGTCAACTGTCAGAATGACTATGTCCAGCATCAGCATTTGGCATCACATACCCAGAGTGCCAGAGGAGTCTTCGTTCCAGATTTCCTGTATCATTGTCCCAAAGCCTGAAAATTTCAGGACAGTGAAAGGACAACCAGAAATTCCTCAATGCCTTGAATCCATGTCAGCTGAGATAAACAGGAAACTCTCTCAGGAGGATACCAGTTGGTTTAAATGACGCTGTAGATTCTAAGAAAAATATGTATACTAATATTTTAAATAAATAAAAGAAGTAATTTATTTTCTTTTATACTAGGATATAAATCAGGACACAGTTCAATAAAACAAACAACAACTAAGGAGGTGGAATCAGTCCAGCAGTACCTCACTGTAAAAGTTACAGCTGACCAGAGCAGGTGCTTTATTCCAAATAAACATAATAACACATAAATCAAAGCTCCTTATCAACAAATACCAGTAATAGTTAACAGTAAAAAAAAAACCTATGGAAATATTTTAATCTATTCACTTCCTCATTCATTAAGCTGCCTATTTTCTCTGTTTATTTTCTATAGTTGGCTAATAGCTAAGCTTCACTCAACCTTGAAATGCAAAATTATTTCACTGCAATCTCTTGAAGAACATTCAAAGAATGCATAAAAATACAACTACTTTAGATACACAGAATTTTAGATAAGGTTTTCTTAATTTATGTAGGTCTCTTACTTTTTGGAGGAGGACTCCAATATGAAATCAGTTTCATTTAAAAACATTTTATGTTTTTAATTTAAAACATTTTATCTGACTGAAATTCAACCAATTTCTTTGTCTACTTCTCCATGTCAGGAGCAATAATTTTCTAATTCTGCCAAATATCTCAGGTTAAAAAAGTGAAACTACTTCACCAAACCTTTGAAACTGGAACTATGCTTTCCATATATAAATCATGGGCAACAAAAACATATAAAAGCAAAAACAATTGTAATTGTTAGGTATTCTGAAACACACTATGTACATACATACATACATACCAAATGCATAACACCAGATCAAATTCAAACATCTCTTTGATTAATAAATTCTGTAGTTACTGAATTAATCAATATGAAACAAAGCTACTTAAGTGATCTGAAAACTTGTCCCTTGTTACTGTTAGAGCAACAGCTAGAAATAAAAGAATTGCAACAAGAGAGCAAAAGTTAATTTCCCTAGGGGATTTTCTGTGTCCAAGTACACAGAAAATGCACATATTAAGAGCTGTGGAAGTGGCTGGGGTTTTAATGTTTCCCTTGTACTGGGCTTCCACTCTTGTTTGTGTGGACTCTCTATTGACCGAGATGGGGAGAAAATGGCACAAGCAAAAAAGCATGTTGTAAGACAGTAAATACAGAAAAGGACAGAGACCAAAGGAATTGTGTGAATGTATTGCTCACATACATTAAACTCACCAAGGCTGCTTGAAAACACATTTGGCCTTTTTTTACAACACATTTAATCTTCTGGATGTTGCAGCCCCCAGCTACCACATTCATCTTTACTGCCTGTCACCATATCTGCAGGGTTATGGACAACCTTTTTGGAGGGAGGTGGGGACTTCACAGTAGCTGGTAACTCAAAAAAGTCAAATGTTTGCATAGAAGACTTGCTTCCTGATGGTAATATCTCAGTCCCTCTCACCCTGAAGTTGGCCTGCTGAAGTTTTCAGGCTTCCCCTGCAGCAATTTTACTTATATTATTAATGACTGGTAGAGAGCTCGCACTTGTCCCTTTGTCCTTAAATTAAGCAGCCACTTACATAGACAGAGATACTAGCTGCAGGGCAGTGGGTATCAGACCCCTTTGAACCTTCTTTAAGCGTGTTAAACTGGAGCTTCAAAGGGGAACAAATATATTTTAAAAAGGCAGTATAGGGGGAATATTGTCATTTGCCTCTATGATCATATGATCAAATAAAATCTTTACTGATCTGGACATCTAGGCTTCTTCAAACTGACATGATACCCTGA